TGGGTTCTCTTGGAGAACCCAGGTCTGGGTTCTCCCAAAAAAAAAAAAAAGAAGAAGAAGGAAAAAGGAAAGCAGGGAGAGCAAGAAACGGGTGTTTGGAGTTTAACGGATTGAGTAACAGAAAATGAAAGTGTGTGACGAAAGGGTGTAAAACAGTGAGGCTAAATGTATAACGGTCCTCCATTAGATAATATTTTAATAGTGGCCACTACCACCACGAACATGACCCTAAAGTTTAGTGGTATATATCAATATCTAACAATGAATTAATGAGAAACTGCCTCATTGACCCTATATTTTACTAACAGGTAACAGCTAATGATGATTCCAACGAAAGAGGAGGATAATCCCTAAGAAATTATAACTCAATCACATACATTGATACATCGAGCGCTAGAAACCAACAATGTTAATAGCTTTCCCATAGTTTTGGTTTCTACCATGACTGTAGTTTTCTCGATTTCGATTAAGAATCCCATGGAAAATCTATTATTAGGTCAAGGCTAATCAAATAAAGCAACAAAATGGCCCGTTCGCCTAGCGCCGAGTTTCCCAATTTAGTAGCCTCCAACTACCTCCGAGATTAACTTGAATTTGAATCAAATGGTAGATCCTTCACCATTTTGATTGAAGCTCTCTTTGCCTTCTAAGTAGAGGGAATCACAATCAAGGCACTTAACATTTCTGGTGATGCCAACTTTCGTCATGGGTGTTACTCAGGCAAGATGAAGAAAAAATCTTCAATTGCTTTTAAGGAATGTGATATTAAACTAATAGGTGCTTTTACCTGTTTAATATATGTTAAGCACCTTAATGGGAGGGCTTGTGATGCATTTATTCTATTTTGGAGCTGGTCTGTTCTCACATCTGAAGCCCTTGTATACTTTTAAAAATACAAAGAGTTATGATCTACCCCATTGACAATTACAACATATTCTAGAAAGTAAGAGGACGACCCATGCACCACTTATTTTTCTACTTGTCTTCTGTTTATCTATTGCTTAGCTTCCTCTTGGTCTCTCACACTAAAGAATAACAACCATAGAAATTCAAGGTATGCTTCTCATGTTATTATATAAATTCATGATTTTGTGTTCTAGTATTAGTACATAGATTCATTGTTTTGTGTGATCCGATTAGCTTTGAATATTAAAAAGGTTAAATGTCAATTTTGATCCTTAAGAATGATACTGTTAAGAATGATACTGTTAAAGTGGGTTGTTTGTTAAAATTGTGTTCTTCTTAAAAAATGATTCTGGATCTTTTTTCTTTTGCTACTTTTAGAATTAATATACACAAAACTTCTGCCCAAGGTGATTTTCGTGTCTATTAATTTCTAGTAGTTGGGAGCTATTATTAAGGGTTTTTTTTTTATTATTATTGAAATTGTAAGAAAACTTTATGTCCAATGGTGATTAGCTTGTTGAAAGTTCTTTCTCATTATTAGCTTGTTTATAAAAAGTTATTTTGTATGTTGCATATTCAACTCAAAGGTATCTATGTGTTTATGCACTGTGAATTTTCTTGAGGTTATCATTTTTGTCAAGCTTATTCTTGTGGCATATTGCCCATGTGAATTTTCTTGCGAGCTTAACTTCCGTTGCTATAAACAATCGAGTGGGAACTATTAAGACTTTCGCCGAAAACAAGTTGAAAAGATGGAAAAGGGATATAGGGATATATAGACTTGGGTTTGGCAGAAATAGATATTACTTTTATAGAGGATAAGCCCCTAAACCTATAGGAGATAGTACTTACGACGTAAAGCTAAACATGAGAGATGGGATATAGCTAGCAAATTGAGTTTGAAGATTATGCAAAAGTCAATTAGTGATGGTTAGAAAGGTGCTATCTCTGGAGCTACTATGCAAAACAATTCCTTAAGATCATGGGCAAGAGGTACCAAAAATCTGAAAAGGCTGATGCTAGAGAATTAATGGGTAAGCTTAGTAGTTTCAAGTTTGACGATGTGAGTAAATGTTAGAACTTACATTTTTCACATGCAAGACATAGCCAACAAGCTCACAAATCTTAAGGTACCAATTGCATGGGAAGGACATGTTAGTCATTAGCAAGATTATTATTATTGAGCATCATTATCAAATGGGTATTTTTAATACTGTAATATATTCTTAATTGCAAGAATTGAGAATAACATGCTTAATGAGAATGCACTGAAACTATTTACTCTTAATGGTACTTTAGATCTTAAAGATTGGTGTGAAAGTTTCAATATTGTTAATATTTCTAGGCCTCTTGAGAAGTCTTAGGATTTTTTAGAGATGGAGAAACTTCATTTAAGAAAAGAATTTTGATATTATGAGATTGAAACAAGTTTTAATCAAAGTTTTTAAAATTTAATAAATATTTCTGAGCCATGTCAACTGCTTTGAGAAACAAGAAAATCAGAGATTTACTTTCTCATTTACAAGTTAATTACTTTGGTACTTATTCTTTTAGTTTCTATGACAATAATAAAAAGGAGTATTTTTTGCCATAAGAATTATGAAAACAAGGTTTCGCAACAAGATGGATGATGAATTTCTTCAAAACTCTTTAATTGTTTATATTAAAAGGAAACTGTTTAAACATTTAGTATAAATTATTATAGATAGATTTCATGACTTAAAAACATGTTAGAGTATTATTTTAATTTATGATATAAAACAAAAATTTGAAATTATAATGTATTATTTTAGGACTTGAGAATTTGACCCCCTATAGCCAAAATTCGTGGCTCCACCACTTGATGTAACACTGGAGAATCAAGTTGATGACATTTAAAGAAAGAGCTCTTTGAAAAGATCTCAAAGGACCCCAAGCCACCTAATAAGTTAAAGGACCTACTAAATGGAAACATAAGAAAATGCAAACAAATCCTTTGAGGATTAAGTGCTATTTGGTATAGAGGTTGCAATCAAGTAGTTAGCGAATGGTGCGAGTAGCGGATAGTGGACAAAGAGTAGTAGATATTGATTTTAATAACTATTTAGTTATCTAATAATTAGTAATTAATCAATGATGATTGTCTAAGTGGAAAGAGTTCGGTTCCTTTTAAACAAGATTTCGAGTTTGAGTATTGTGAATGAAAAAACAAGTGTTGGCAGAATTTTTCCCTTAATAAGGTTCAACGCGACTCGATTCTGAATTAATCAAGATTCAATATGGTTATCGATATCGGAAGGTTAATACAAAAACAAAATTAGTAATTATTGTTTAGTGTCTAATGACAAATAAGGATAAACTGAAAAAGTAGATAATTGTTTTTTCTTAACAATAAAAGAGTTTAATATTTTTATTATTTTATTTTTATTGTTATTATTGTTATTTTTATGTAATTATAAATGAAATATTCCTTTTTATATTTTTTAGAGAAATTAATTTATTATTTTTAAATATGAGGTAACAATTATAAACTTTTCTATTAATTAATTTTTAATTATGACTTAGCAAATTTTTTTGGAAATAAGAAAATTAGTTACCAAATCAAAAGGCAACAAAAGGAAAAGAAATAAACAAGTTAATGTTATAATTGAACATAAAAAAAAAAAAAGTTTATTGTAAAATTAGGAAGGGAGAAGTTGCGTCTTAAACTTGTATTTATACTTAAATATTTTATCAGTAAATTTAATAATTTAAAATTTTTAATCCACCAATGTAGTTTGGGATGAAAAGCAAAGTTTTTTAATCTACTAGTGAGATATGCTCAAATTGTTGAATAAAAAATTTTCAAAATCCTAAATACTTATTGGTTAGTGGAAAAAAATATTATCAAACACTATTATATATAGTGGTTTTAACGAAACTACTAACTGTCATATCAAACTGTCAATATACAATTGCATGTGAAACACAAAGTTTACTCAGTTGATTAAGAAAAAGAGAAGAAAAGAAAAGAAAAGGAAAAGAAAGAAGAAAGAAAGAAATAAAAAAAATAAATAAAAAGAAACGCAAAGGTTCCTCTAAGATTTTTGACAAATTAACCACTGTTTTCAGATAGCTTGCACCGGCCACAAAGGAAAATAGATTCTAGATAAAAGGAATACTCCTTTGGAAAATATTGTTCAATCATGCAGTATTGATTCAAATTTTTTGGAGATCAAAATGATTGGCTTAAGAGTAAAGAAACTAGAGTATAAGATTCTTACTTTTATTTTTACGCTACACCAGATTCACTTCTTAGCTCTTTTTTATCTAAAGTTTTTTTGATAATATGACTCATTTTTTTATTTTATTTTAAATTTAAATGAATATTTATAAGATTTTAAAACTTAAAATAGAATTGGGATCCACACCTAAAATAGTAAATTATGTACAGATTTTTTGAAAATCGCGTTAAGGGTTTACCCCTTCAACAAAGGGCCGACGCCTTCTGTTAAGCGGAGACTCAAATCACCGTGGCCTTCCAAGCAATTTCTATTAAAGGTAAAATGATAGTTCTGGTCCCTAACTTCTGAACTCTGCACAACTTAATCTCAGCCTTTTGATTTCTGCAATTTGCTACTAAAAATTATGATTTCTTCCAATTAATTCCTTTTTTACACAAAAAATGAAAATTATGTAAAATCAAATAAAATCTCATAAAACTCATTCAAATATCTATAATATCAAGGTAAAATTTCAGATTAATATCTATATAAATTTAGCCTATCAATATAGTATCTTCTTTTGTTTCTTTTAAAGTACTCAACAGCATAGCAGATGAGGAGTACAAACTGAAATACAGCACCAAGGTGAAGGTGAAAGTGGCCGAAGATGAGTTACTTCTCTTACTCCATAACATATTATCTTATATTAGTTTTGACACACACACACAAAAAAAAAAAAAAAGCTGAAACAGGTGAAGAGAGAGAGTGCAAGAAAATAATTAGTAGCAACTTGTAGAAGCAAGCAAATTGGATTTTCTTATTCTTTATGGTAACTAACTAGTGCTGAATTGCAGATAAAAGGTAGAAACTTACACAGTACAGGGGTACAAGAGTGAAAATGAAACAGAGATGAAGATAGTTATTTGCCTTCACTTCCTTATGTATGGTGAAAACTTTGATGTCTCGAGAAAATCATTTTGGATCTTCTCATGTACCTTCCTGATGTAGTCAGCTAACATTTCATCACTTTCATATTTCACTCGGTGAATGAAAATTGAAGTTCCATTCTCAGCTTCTGGCTGCATCAAGATTGAAATGGGATTTGAGATGCTATGCGGCTTTTCTAACCTCTGGCTCCCAACAGATTGAGACAGCATTAGTTAATCTACAGTAGAGTCTGGCGCAGGTGCAGGAGTTTTGGTCCCAGTTGGTCCAGATGCTCCACTGGAAATATTGGCAATGGAGAAGGATGACACTTTAAAGATGCTCACCACCATCTTCATTGATTTTCCACACAGAGACTTGTTATTCTTGTCCTTAGTCATCTTATTGTCCATAAAGCTTTTCACTATAATTACTCTTCAAAAATATTAGATGACTGTAGATCAACACAGATCTCAGTATATATAAATCATAGAATACTTTTGAAGGAACTGGAGAGAATAAATTAGCTAATCCATTATGTTACAGATAAAGCAAAACCAACTTTTTTCAATAAGTGGATCCCTTTCCTGTTCCAAGACTGAGGTCCTTCTATACAAGCTAAACTATGATAGAGCAAGCTAAAGAATCTTGCAACTCTACCTATCAATGTGCAACATGTATCAGGTACATGGCCGAAGATGCCTCCAAATTTCTTATACACACATTTCCCAAGATTCCTAAGCAATCATTATAGTATAATGATTAACATAATTCACACGGAGAAAAACATGCTTGCGTTTTGATTTTAAGTTGATGCAAAACCCAAAACCCTTGTTATGCTGTGGAGGCTAAGTACAGGTAAATGAACTGTAACCAAGATATTGCACTAATGTCATGGTGATCCCAGGATGAAATTTAGATCTATGCAACTGCACAGGCAATAAGTACCAATATTGTATGTTAGACATCTAATTGAATTGCTTTATCAAAGACATTACTCCAGCTAGAATCTCATTGTCGATGCCTCACTTAAAATTTCAAAAGTAGAAAATTAAGTTTACAATTTGAGAAAAATAGAAGTCATCATCTACCGGAATGATGGTAGGGTAGGTCATTGTGATTTGCAATAAATTGAGATCTAAAGTATGATTAAGAATAAGAGAGGGTATATGCGCACTTTACAATTCTTCAAGTAAAATATGATTGAATATTTCAAAAATTAAGAAATTAAATTGACAAACAAACAAATTATTTTATTAATTTATTTTATTTTCGTTTTTTTAGGTTTTTTTTTGTATGATTTTTTCTTATATATTTTTTTTAACCAACCTCAACAAAAAAGAAAAACATTAATGCATCATGAAATGCAAATAAAGAAATCAAATGTGTGGCTAAGAACAAAGGACCTGACAACCTGTCATACCATATTGAATAAACGGAATTCACAACTACAGAAACAGGGATGAATATAGTGAAGGCTAATCAGCAAAGAAGGTAACTCAAACCCAAAAAGCAACCACAAGAAAAAGATTTTTTTTTAAGAAGTAATGATGGAACAATGCAAATATGCAATGCACGAAATAACACAAGCAAACAAACTTGACAAGAAAACACACAAAGGAAAATAATGGGAAAATCCTTATAACAAATGCAAGACATTAAACCAGAGCACTTTAACCTTCTTCAGCAAACAAGTACAGGAGCCTTCAATCAATACATAACTTTAGATAGATTTTCATGAAAGAAACATGAAGTGCAAGACATGTGGCCATGAGAAATCTAAAGGAGAAAAATGAATTCTCAAGGCAAAACAAAAGTGACATTAATAATAATAATAATAATAACAGAAACTTAAGTTTAATGGAAATCTACAGACAAAGCAGATAAGTTAGGAAGCAATTTTAGTTTCTACCAACGTTCCCAATGGGCCATGGCATGTAAACAAAACCGAAACCAAGAAAAACAAATCATGATATAACATTCTTAGTGGACAGTCATGTAAGATCTAAAACAAACCAAGCTACAAGTGTTGAAAACCATCGTGTGACCTTCCCAATGGACCATGATATAAAGTTTTGCAGTCATTTCTTTTGTTTTTTAAAGAAATCATTGACTTTGTCAATGGGCTATGATGCAATGACTTTAATCTGCAACTTTCCCAAGGGGCTATGAAACAACATTTTTAATGAACTAATTAGGCGACATTCTCTAAGGGCTTTCACGCAACATTCTCAAAGGACTTTCATGCAACATTCTTAGAGGGCATGGTCATGCAATATTCTCAAAGGGCTTTTCATGCAACATTTTCAATGGCTAAATCATGTAAAATTCTCAATGGGCATATTAAGTAGCATTCTCAATGGGCTAGGGAAGCAACATTCTCAACAAGCTAGCTAAATCATGTAACATTCTCAATAGGCATATCATGCCACATTCTCAATGGGCATATTAAGCAGCATTCTCAATAAACTTTTCATGCAACATTCTCAATAGGCTTTTCATGCAACATTCTCAAAGTGCATGGGAAGAGTACATTAGATGAAGTCACTAGCGAGGGAATACGCCAGATGAGGCAATAAAGAGTAGAGTGATTTACCTATCCTCTGATTTCGATTTTCAAGGCTTACCATGCATACAACTTCATGACTTTAAAGTTGATGGTACCAATCTTTTCCATTTCTAACAATGCTTTGGATTTCATGAGCATGTCTGATTCATTTTCAAGTGAAATTTTGATGCATTAGTCATGCAAAAGGATTATACTGAGGATTTCTTTTGAAAAGAGCATTGACTGAAAATATGAGAACCTAGGATACTCGAAGTTCTTTTGAGGAAGATTTGATTAAAAGGACGAATGTGATTTGCAAAACATGAAATATATATTCTATGAAGATAGTGCTTTTAAAAAAAGAATTTGAATGATGCTTCCTAGAATTGCCCTTACCATATGTTTCAAAATACAAGTGAGATGACTCCAACTTATGTGTGATTCTAGTACACTTTGCTCCTTTTTGAAAGATGATTCCCACCCCCCAACCCCCTCAAGTTGATGACTTTTAAGTCTCACTCTTTTCTTTGATTCATCTATTCTTCCTCTTATATCAAAGAGAAATTGATCTCAAATTCATAGAATAAAATGAGGACCCTGATAATGGCTTCTGGAAAGGGTCAAGTCATGTTCATGGTGAGGAGGAATTTCTGAGGAATGTCTTTATGACCTCGGGTCTCTTTTTTTTTTTTTTTTTTTTTTTTTTTTCAATGGACTGAGTGTTAGCTGGCACAAGGCTTCCTTTCAAGAAAAGTGTCAAGGAATCAACACTTAACTAATTTTTTCGTTTTTCACTTTCATAAAGGTCATGATTAAATTCAAGTGCTGTGTAGATTCTCTAATAACAACTTTATTTGGCTTGTAATGTAATCTCGAGGCTAGGCTATTAGAAAATTTATATGTTTGGAAACTTGAATTTGTATTTAAGGGATGTATTTTAAATACATATAATTTTAAATACATGTATTTCTAAATTTACTTTTTAGATTAATATAACAACAATGAATTTGATATTCAATTTATTTATTTGGAAAAAAAGAGTTAAAATACATAAATATAAATTTGAAACACATGGAGTTAAGAGGGCAATTCAAATACACAGATTTAAAACAATGAAATACATGAACCCAATTACATGTACTTAGAATAAATTCAATTAGATATTTATTTTGTAAAAACAAATAGTAATATTGAATTCGAAAGATTCAAATTCAAATACACTTTATAAAAATCATGTTCTCAAACATTCCATTTTCCCAGTATAATTGGATATAAGAAAGGAGGATACAATAATTCTGGACAAATAGTATATGTCCAGGATTCCTTACTTCTAAATCCCTCTCCTAAATTGTATAAGCACTTTTCCAGGGATAAATTGGAAAAAAAACGGGTGCTCCCCAGGTAATCTTCAAAATTTACTGAGAATTCAACGTAATTATGTCCCTATAACTACAATAACATTGGCTCTGATCCATAAGAACCCCCCAACTATCAAGGGAGAAGAAAAAAAAAGAGGAAAAAGGAATATATATATATGTATATATATAGAGAGAGAGAGAGAGAGAGAGAGAGAGAGAGAGAAAGAGAGAGAGAGAATAATCCATCATCCATTCCTACCAGGTTCTTTGACTTATTAGACCCTTTATCTCCTTTCTTGAAGAAGACCCAGGGAATACTGGCAAGGCCGTTGCATCCTTAATTCATCAGAGATTGGCATATGCTCCACTGCATTCCCTGCTTCTATGATTGCCATCATTTTTGCATGTGCTCTTCAGCTGATAGAGGAAAAGAAAAGGTGGGAAGTTCTGCTGGGCAGCAGAACACAGGAAATTGAAGAAGCTATAGGAGTTCTTCAAGATCAGTTTTTGTGTACAGCAAAGGTAAGTGTTTGTTACTTCCTAAATCTGTGATTAAAGGAAAGATAGTAGATTTTAATGACTAACAATCTGTATAAATACTAGGGGTTTACCTGGTTGCAGTATGAAAATGTGTTGCCTGTGAGATCATTAGCATGCAACATGTTTTACAAGCTTAAGGATGAGTAGAACTTACCTGCAAATAAGTGACTGAGTTAGAATTATTTCAAAGATGACGAGGGATTCAATTATACATAAGTTTTACTTACTACACCTAAACAAAATCTCAACTATCAATTTCTCCACTTTCATTGGTTGAGATTTATCATGATTTTTTAGATAAAAAAATAATTATTTTTAATAAATGTGAATAAATCTTAACCATTGGAAGTGGAGAGATAAATGGTTGAGATTTTGTTTTAGTGTGTAAGACTTGTGTTTAAGTAGATCCCTACTCTTTCAAGTATACTTTGAAATGAACAGTCAAGAATGGAATTAGAAATGCTTCCGTATGCTCTATGATATTAGTGAATTTAAAGACTTGCTTGCTAGTTATTGAAATTGCTGTCATATATGCAGTGATATAAACATAAGATATTATGCTTATTGCTATACTTTCTATGGAGATACAGACCCTAACAAAACTGGGTGCTCATTCTGCTACTGTTAGCAACCTATTGTGTATAGACATTGACTTCTGCGCCGTTGGGAATAGCTGAGGCAGCACCTAGCTAATTTTGTGTGTGCACCACGTATGGATTACTTAATCCATAGAATGTTATTGTGAAAATGATTGCCATTGTTTGTGCCAATCTATTTGTTAACCAGATCTCCTAAACTGTCTTGGTAGCTAAGAATTGTTAAGAATTGGTTGCCTCATGTTCTGAACTTGGTGTATTGACTATTGCCTATATTTGTTCACTAAATGATTAATAGCTTTAGTTATAGAGTGGTTGGTAACATCCACTTATGCGCTTATTAGCTCACAAAATAATTTAACATGTTACAGGTTAGCTAAGTTTAAGGGAGTACAAGGACCTCAGGAAGCTTGGAGCTTTTCCCTGGACCAAGTTGTAACCTCCAAAGCCTGAACTTGGTTAGACAAGTTTGTAAACACTAACAAAACTATCCCAGCTCATCTTTAAATGTTCAGTTAGCATGCTTTGTGAGAAACTCTACTCTATCTATATTTATGAAAACCAGCGAATCTGAATTTTTTTCTCAGTTCCTAAAATTTAGCATAGTTTTCCAGTGGCTTTAAGGTTAGTTGGATTTTCTGTATAGGATTTAAACATCCAACTAGCTAACGTTTTTCAACAGATAATGTTTCCCTGCATTATCTCTTGCTACAAGTATGGAACCACTATTGCTATTAGTTAAATTATCTAATTTTCAATTGATAGAAACAGGTCTTCAGAACAAATCTTCATATTTCAACCTCTACTTCAATTATATAGTAATTATATATTTACTCTAAAAGAAAGCAAAATTGCATGTCATAGCTTGTAGCTAGTAAGGCTTAACAATGGGTTTTGACAATAGGTACCAGAATTGTATCTTAGACACCCAATTGAATTGCTTTTACCACCATCAGTGTGACTTGGAATTCAAAACCTTCAATGATGGGTTCAAAGACATTACTCAAGAGCTAGAATCACATGACTGAGCTAACATTTCCAAATAAAAAACACTTCTCTACCATTTAAGGTCCTTGGAATTGATAAAAAGAAGAACATGAATGTGTAGTCTAAAAGGAAACTTTTTTAAATTACTTTTCTTTTCCAAAAAAAGGGGAAAATTTTTCTTTCATTTACTTTCATTTCCATTTCCTCCAAACTGTACAACCAGAACACTGTGTGAGGTATATCAAAAGAAAATGCAGTTTCTTGAGGTATTTTAGTAAACCATTCACAGGGGTTTTTTCTTCAAACAAATTAGTCTTATAGCATCAACTTAGTACACTCATATAGCTTTAGGAAAGTGATTTCTAACATGCAAAAGGACCAAGAGAGATATGAGACATGCAAACACAGAAGCTAAGAACCCCTCAAAAGCTTCTGCTATAAACTGCCATACCTCTCTTCAGCTCCTAACAGTTTTGCTTTCCATTTTTTTTTTGGCGAAAGCTTTGCTTTCCATATCTCTTGATTTTTCAAAAGATTCTCATTGAGCTAGATGCAGCGAATAAGCAATTTAATGGTTGGAAAAATAAGATTAAATCATATGTACCAAAAAAAAAAAAAAAGATTAAATCATATGAACACACTAACTAGATTCAAATTATCCAGTAACAAAGTAACAAACAGAAAATATATTCTGATCAACCCACACTAACCATAGTACTTATATCATGAAGAAATTTCTTCTCCTTCACACATCTATCCAGTTTGGCCTGCAACTTCAGTAGTTTTTGAGTGACAGCCCTCTGAACAGCTCCAGAAACTTCCCTCTCAGTTTCTTCTTGGACTTCTTGCAGCAAAGTCTCAAAATACTACAAGCAATGAAGAGTATATTAATCCACTGAGGAGAGTACAGTTAGAAACAAAACCAAATATTGAGAACAATGCATAATTTCTTACTAATCTATTATCTATTAAGATATTAATGAAAGTAGTTTGGAATAATATAGGTGATGCATGTAGAGTCAACCAAGATATGCTGAAATGGTGACTGTTTTACCATGAGAAATGGAAGTAGTAGGAAACACTTACTAATTTTTGGTTCTCAAGTTGAGTGGCAAGTAATTCATTGTATTCATTAACAATCTGTGAATAGACTCAAAGTAAGACAAGTGTGATAAACAACCTATTAAATTATCAAATTATTAAATTAATATAGGAACAGTACAGCTTCAACTTTTCTGTTTAGAATGGCCTCACTAATTCCATAATCATCACATTTGCATCTTCCACAACCATCATTAACATGCTGACAATGTGCATCCAACTCAACTAGCATTCCATCAGTTTTGGATTGAATTAATCTATGAACATAATTATCACCAACATAATCCCAGACACGCTGTGTTTCCAATTCAAGAAAATAGCAGTGTTGTGTTTCTTTCCAATGTATTATAGCATGACCTCCTTTATACCTACATCCATTGTTTTTTTTTTAAATAACAGACGGCACGTACACCTAATAAACATAAAGACAAAGAAACAACTTTTGGGAGGAAAGGAAAACTATTACCTTCCACAGCCAACAAAACCACATATGACACACATCCCAAGATTCTCAGAAGTTTGACTTAAAAAAATGTTGACTTTTCTGGCTGCTGGTGGCAATATCAGCAAACATAATACAATAATTCAGAATAACTTGTAAATACAATCCCAACAACTCATCTCTAAATGGAATTTGACAGTACAATTACTCTCGCAAAAGCATATCATGCTTGTCAGCACATGACCAGATAATGTGTGGAGCAAAAACAATCAGAATCACTTACAGGACAAGAAGAATTTGCCAATTTTGAAATACAAGAGCAGTGGAAAGAATGATTGCAAACAGTTGCGAGGATTCCACTCGCGTCCTGGTCCAATCTCTCTATAAAACAAGGCAAAAGAACAAAAAAGAGAAATGTAAGATGCCAAGAACCGATTAGTATCTTATGCCAGAGGCAATAAACTTGAAGAAACAGACTGCATGCACTGAATTCAAGCAGTAAACAAAAAAAAGTTAAAAAGAATCTTGTAGATATTAGAGGAGATGCACAAGTGGATAAGAGAAACATTGAAGTGGAGAAGATTCTCTGCCTTAGTAGAGTTCATATCCTTAATGCTGTTTATTTTCCAACTACATAAGTCCTAGGAGAGGTCAGAAAACATTAAATAAATCTCAAGAAATGTTTATTCTTTCAACAATTCTACTATTTTCTTACATAGATTAGTGCTTTATGACTAAATGGCAATAATGATGAGCAATTTCTGAAACTATGTCAAATAGAGCATACCAAGACAAACTGGACATGAAGGCCATACGGTTGAGCTTGCAAGGGGAGACTATGCATGATCAAGAGAGGCACTATAACCATTGAACCGAACATCCACTGTAAAAAGCATTTGGCAGAGATCTTCCTAAATAAACATAAAGAAAAAACCAAAATAGACAACCTAGAAAGTATATAAGCAATTGCAACATTATTAATACAGAGAATTCTTATTAATTTATATCCTTCTATAAATAGAAATATTCTGAAATGACTAGAAATTTAAGTAAAAAAGGAAAAGAAATACCTCAAGTGAATTAAACTGTTTTCCATTAAAATGCTGGTAGAATTTATCTGCAGAGTCTTGATTGTCAAATCATATCAAAATATTATACTGGTCCTCCATTCCATCATTCCTAACCATCATATAGCAAACTTTAATAAACAAGAAAAAACAACCCCAATCCCACAAACAGCCAACTCAAAAAAGGAAAACCTTGATGCACAAAGTGACAGCATCATCTCAAAGAACTCTATCCCCTTTCTAAACCACAGCAGAAAAATTATGATGCAATAAGTCTATAATTTTACCTGACAATTCTCATCTCCAATATATGATGGATGAAAGACGCACAAAACTGGCAAGAGTCTGCATGTGTCATGTGGTTGGGCACCCCAAAACACATACAAGAGGTTTCTTTCCAACCTATTAACATTAAAACACATGGGTGATGGGTTCCAATACTTCAGTAGCGGGATCATATCTCAATGCTGATCAATTAGTTGCAGAAAGAAAGTATGAATAGGCCGCAAGCCTCGAAAAACCCTTCCAAATTCCTCAATTTTCCGATTTCATAACTAAAAACAAATTAAATCTAGAATTTCACAGCTAAAATTAGTTTATTTTCATGCAGAAAAAAATATCTAGTACAAGGAATACATATAGACTCGTAGGAATTTGCAATTCATTCAACCAATGCTGGATGATACGAGAGAGGAGCTTACGGTGAGAAAGGAGGGATAGTTGGCGTCGTTGGAGAAAAGGTCCATGATGCCTGACGTCTCTTCAATTTTTGGGTTTCAAAGGAGAAGGGAATAGTCTCGTTTCCAATGATCGGAACCGAGATATCACAGAACACTAGCTCCGACGGTGGTTGGGAATCAGCATTGAATGTGCTGGAGCTTGACGATGAGGAGTTTGTCGTTAGAATCACTCTAGCTTACCGAAGAAGACAAATATCAATTCATGTACGCT